AATCAAATTTCCTATCAAATGAGATCTAAGATCAAGATAAAATCCATGCATTCTTTTTAATTTGAACTTTTGTAGTTGTTGTGTTATACCATTATGTTCAGCTCAATCATCTCTATCGACCCTAATATTTATATTTTTTTTTTATTTGAGAATCGGAGCTATTCTGCATTTGTTCCATAATTTCAATTCATAGTCGCGCAAAATGTCAAATGAGCAAAAATGTCAAATCGCAATGTCACGCAACACAAATCTTGGAATTTGAGCTATGTAGCTTTTTACGCACGCCGGACAATTTCGGTTTGGGCCCATGCAAGTTGTATGTGCATGAGAAATTTATGACAGCAAACGGCGTGCGTGAATATTAGGTTGGCCTGTAACAGAATCCAGTCGCTGCAGTCTGTAAACATCACAAATATTTTATAAATATTCGTAATAGGCTTCACACCCGGCCACTACTAGTAATGCCACGGATGCATCCGGATGTCTGCATTGTTGGTCATTTTACAGGGTGGTTTTATTACTGATAAAAGATTTCGTAGGCAAATTCATTGTTATTGCTTGCTATCTCGTGTATAGTTGGTTTTTGTAGACGCATGAGTTGTGATACGAAATTGCCCATTGATGCGCATTTCCTTAAATAACATACGGTATTGCCACAAAAAAATTACCAAGTTCCTCAAAAACAAATGAAAAATTCGAACAAATTACTCAAAATTTCTTATTCCAGATATGATTATTGTGTACTGCATACTATTTACAGGTACTTAGTATAAAAATTAATTACGTTCTCAAATTCAATTCTTGCGGCTCAAACAAAGTATCACCGTTATTTCTTATGACTAGCTTTGTATATATGTAAATATTTCTGCAACTATATCTTGTCCTCAAGTCAGTCCTACACATTTTTAAACTACATACTAAATTACGTTCTACCGAAGCATTAGAAACGCGCTATATTAGTAATGCAAATATACATAATTGCTTTTAGGGCCGTTTTCTAATGTTAGCAGTAAAGTTGCCTTTACTAACAGGGCAGATAAAGTGTTCCGCACTTTGAAGTGCTTTCGTTTTCTTATCTTACCGGTAAAAATAAATTTGTTATTCCGGAGAGTGAAACTTCACTACATTCGTCATAAAATTTCAAATGTTGGCAATGCAACATATGCAAATATAGAGCAAGAGCAACTGTTAGCAAAAATCAAAACCTTGGATGAAATATCTAATATATCTGACACATGAACCAAAACCAAACCAAAATTTAAAGTTGGGTACAAATGTTTAAAGGTTGCATCGGGTGAGCAACAATTTATCGATTTGAGAAATTAATATGCTGGTGAGAAAACGAAAACTCCGGCCGGTAATCTAAAGGTTAGACGAGAAAACGGCCCTTAATTGGGAAACTTATATGAACCTGAGGAATCTTTTAATTCAAAAACTTTTTTCCTATAATTTTCTGGATCTATTGAAGAATCAATGTACCATATTCTGGATTTCGTACGAATCGAAAGTTTGAAATTTTTGTATAGAAAATGATAGGAAAATTTCATGATTTTTTTTTTAATATTCTTATGATCGAACAATGCGTGTTCTCTCCATTCGTAATCGAGATTTTGCAAGTTCAAAATAATTTCAAAATATAACGATGGAATGAAAAAAATTATCGATAACATTTTGAATATTTAGCATCAAATGCAGATTTAAAGCTATTTATGTTGTGTATGGGGGTGTTTGAAGATTTTACAAGCCCTTTGAGGGAAATGTGAACAAAAATTAAAATTTTTTGATTTTCTGGCCGCCATATGGACGTTTGATCAAACCGCTTAAGCTATGTATGGTAAAATTGCCTCATTCACAACAGAATTTTCACCGAATGAAGGCGCAAGAGAGAAAAATTGAAGAAAACCAAACTCTTTTACATTGTGACCCGGAAGAAAACTAAAATTCTTTACTTCAACGAGTCATGTTTGCATGGTATATGGCGAAATGGGAAAAGTAGGTTTGAAGAATGCTTGACATAAATACGTGTACATAAGTACTATGTATACAATTTCGAATATGTAATATTGTACACTTAAGTTTCCGGTAAACGAATTTTCAGATTTTTAGCTTCAGCGGCTGATTTTTTGTACTGAGAGAGTTAAAAATCAATATTTTTCGATCGAAAAACTCCGTTTCTCTGCAGGAGATTCCCAATAATAATATACAATTGTTTATTTAGCCATTTTTCATAGTAACTATATTTTAAAGGTCCGCCAAAAACCCCGAAAAATGCAATGAGGGGACCAGTAAAAAATAGTTAGAATTAAAAAAATGGTTAAATAAACAATTGGGTATTACTGTTGAAGGTCTCTTGAAGAGAACTTGAGTTTTCCGATCGAGAAAGTTGTTTTCGTAGAAATGGCATATAATTTTTGAAAATCAATATTAAAAAAATATAAAATGAAATACATGGAAAACTTTGAGCGCTTTAAGCGACCTCTAAATATTTTTTGATTTCAAAATAAAACGATGGGGCTATACTTTTTTTCGTTATAGAACAATCCTAGGGGGTGAGAGCATTAACATTCCGACTTTACTCTTTTTGGACCACGCTATTATACACAGAAGCTTAGGGAGCAATGGGGGGGAGTACTCACGGGGCAATCGTACGATGCTCCCAAGCCCTACTGGGCAAGTTATACTGAGTATTTTAAACCAAGGAATGAAATCGAAACCGAAACAGTAACCGTTTAAAACCGTTTCGTTTTTTAGAACCGAAACCGCAACCGTTATCAAGCACAGCATAACTGTGCCGTTTCACAAAAAATCTCCGATTTCAATAATGAAATTCCCCGATTTTGCCCTTATTTACAAAAACAAAAAATTTAGGTATGTATTTTGATATATTACTGGTGTTTCTGTTTATTTTATTTTGAAATGTAATTCATCTATGTATTCATAAACCAAACAAAAGATTTATAAAGTTAGTTAACAAATAAAGAATAAAAAATATACATATAATATTAACATAGTAATATAACAGTGGTCACAAGTTTTCACAACTATTATTATTTATTTTAGTTATTTAATTTGAGTCATTTTTTATAAAAGTATAGTTTAACCAAAAACCGTATAAATCTAACAGCCTTATTCTGCATCACGAACGATAGGTAACAGGAACGATTCGTCTGCAGAGAAATGCTTCAAATATTATTCCGGCGGCATTATTCTTGCCGGTTTAAACGCAACAGGGACCATTTCAACGTAATATATGAAAAGCAAGACGAAGACGACCGATAGAGTAATAAAATCACAATCAGAGATGTTGTACGCAGACGAATCGTTCGTGTAGCCTATCGTTCGTGATACAGAATAAGGCTGTAAGTTTCAAACTTTGTGCAATATTAAAAAAAAAAAAACAAATTCAACGTACATTCGTAAGAATTTCGAGCTTTATAATTAGATTTTCTAGAAAGATGTAGAGTGTGGAGTTTTGTTGCCCACTCAATTCTAGTGCAATAAAGTGCAAGTTTCAAGTGGCTAAAATTTTTGGTTTTAGAACTTTTAACCGAAGGTTTAGCGGTTTTCTTCCATCTAAAAATAAATTGTGTTTATTCGTTAAATGAAACCGATGCGACAAAGAAAATTATAAAAAATAAACGGTAATTTTTAGCCATTTGAGACCTTATTTTACTGGAATTGAACAAGCTACAAAACTGCATACTCAAAATCTTTCTAAAAAAATCTAATTATAAAGCTCGAAATTTTAACGAAAGTTCGTTGAATTAGTTTTTTTTTAAATATTGTACAAAGTTTGAAACTTATATTTATACGGTTTTTGTCAATTCAAAAGCAACAAAAACCGAAAATAGTAGGTACATAGCTGCTTATGTCACAGCGTCTTAAATTTCCCACAAAAAACGGTCCATTCCCCGATTCCGCACGCAAACCTAAGTTCCCCGAGCTGGCTTCCCTGCAGTGGACCGAAAAGTTCTGAAATTATCCGTCCTCTCTTAGTGGCCTTTGCCAATCAAAGACGGCAAGAACGAAGTATTGATGTTCTACAATACATATTGGAAAAATGAGTCTTTGCGTAAACCGCACTTGGCTCAGTTAGCTAAAATAGTTTTAGCTGTTCCTGCGACGCAGGTCAGTGTTGAAAGGTTGTTTTCTGGCCTAAAATTCATTATGCCACCTGCTAGATAGAGCCAATTTAAGAAGTAATGTAGTGGACTCGATTTCATTGATAAGAACTAATGAATTGCATGGGCTACAAATATTTATATAAATTTATTAGCTTTTGCGAGTAAGATGTGACTCTTTTTAAACAAAACATTATTATTATATTATAATTTCAACAAAATTTCTGTGAAAATCGCACTTACTTATATGTATTTATATCAAATACCCATCAGCAGCAACTCTAATTATATAACAAATAAAATACTAAACAAATTACTACATTTAGATCTAAGCAGATGCGGTGGAGTACGGTTATTAGTTTGTATAATTGTTTCAAAGGTGTTTTCTTTATATAAATAAAAATTAATCACAATGTTTAATTTCGCCGAAAACAAACCTTTTATTTATTTTTAATAAATTTTTTTCTGTCAAAACCGAAATCGGAACGAAACCGAAACCGGAACAAATTTTGAAGAACGAAACCAAAATCGAAGCACTTTGCAAAACCGAAAACGAAACCGGAACATTATTTTGAATCGGTTTCATTCCTTGTTTTAAACTACATATGTACATATGATTGTATTACGCTATGGTGAAGTATCCCGTTTTTAGCGCCCAGTTGTCGATCTATTTTCACAGCATATTTCTCTTTAGCTACCATGCTATAAATCGGGTTAGAAAGACAATTTTTCTTAGTAATGATCCCTTCAGCGCCACCTAGGGAATCCAAACAAATTAATAAATCGTAGGGCGGATACTCGAAATATCTCACCAATATGTTATCGCAGTGGGATTTAGGTTTACGTTCATAGCAGTTTTCTGTACGGCGTAGAAAATTATATACATACATATGTATGTGTACGAATTCATTAAATTCATGTTTTCGGAATTCCTAAATAAAGGGTGGAGAAAATAACGACGTTTACAGACTCCCAAGTGTACATGTGTCGGTGTTTGTTTGTATTTTCAGCGTCATTGTTGTCGCCATTCTTATCAACCCAACGTTATATACGCGACTTCTTCCGCTGCGGTGAACAGTTCAACGCCAGCAATTTAAAAATAAGCACAAAATTTCTCTGAGCGCTACGACAACGATTGTTAACTTATACAATTATATTATTATTAAAATTAATTCAGTTCAATAGTAAAAAAAATCGGTTTTAATTGCGGCGAATTGATTTGGGCGATATATTTATTGGGTTCATTTATGGAAAATGTATTATAAAGTATTGTATTCATATACATGCATATTAGAGAGCTGCATGAATTCATACAAACTTCAAACCAAACAGAGTGCAGTAGAATTGAATATTTTACTTTACATACAAAACACTCAGGCTGCATTTCTTTATTCATTCTGAACGTTTGGAATAAACTTTTTTGTTTATTTATTCTTTAGAACGTTCCTGATGATATGTTGACGTATATTTCAAACGCATTCTGTTTATTCCAGCTGTGAAATTGGATTATCCGGAATGTATAAAGAAACGCAGCCTCAGAGTTTGGAATTTTGTAAGTTATGAATATACATTTTGTTTTAAATTTTCTACCTTCAAATGGAAGAATGTGGATGAATGAATGGAAAACATTCAAATCATTCAAACTCATTTCGGTAAAAGTTTTTTTACAAACAAGTTTGTTCGTATTGTAATAAGAGCGGAGCAATACATGTACATATGTGCATAGAAAAAATATTTTTGGATATTCATACAAAAAATTGTTATTCATTTCAATTCAATTTATTTTCACTTTGTTTGAATATTGTAATGTCGACACATATGTATATCAGAACAGGTATTCACTCCAATTAAAAAAAAAATTTTAGCTAAAATCATTCATTCCTTTTGTATATGAATAATTCATAAGCCGTTTTGAATGAATTCATGCAGCCCTCTAATACATATATGTATTTGTATTTGCGTGTATGTATGTACACATTAGTATGTATTTCTTTATTTTGACTCGGTATATGTATTAATCGCGATCATAATTGTACGTTTTCTTTTTAGGGTATCACTTCCGTTGGTTTTGTGAATTGCTTCCTGTCGTAGTAGTATGACAATTCCATCACGTCCTGCACCTGCGCCTCCAGTGGCGCGTGGTCAAAGTGCTGCTGCCGGTGCCAATGCTAGTATCGAGCAGCTGCGCCGTCAACTTCATCAGCAACAGCTGCAGCAGCAACAGAATGGTGGCGTCCAGAAGTTAGCCATAAGTTTACCGCCACCACCAAAAGGTCCCACCTCTGCCATGTCAATGGCCAGTCGTAACAACAGCATCAGTAGCAACAATAACTACAACAGCCACCAATCAGCGATAACACGCAAATTTCCACAAGCACGCTACACGCCCACCACAAACTGGGATGATGATCCATTTCGCATTAATGCGTCATCAGCCACCAATACAAATGGTAATTGCAAGAAAGTGCCACCACCACGTCCGCCGCCACCCAAAGTGCAGGTGAATGGCCGCAAAGCTCCACTGCCGCCTTCGACGCACTCAACAAAATTGTTAAGCAACATATTCAGGAGCAAGAAAAACAGCAACAGTAGCAGCAGCAACAACAATAACAAAGCAAGTAAAATATATGGTGTCAGCAGTGGTGTCTACGCCACCAACAATGTCGCAGTTACAACAACAACCAACAGCAGTAGCAGTAACACAAACGCCTGGGCTGCTGTCACTTCCACTGCAGTAAATGGCAGCAGCGGCGGCAACAGTTGGCAGGCGAACTGGAACAGCAGTTACACATCGACGTCGCTTACGTCTTTGGCTGTTGGCAATAGCAACGCAAGTGCGTCCGGCGTAGCGGAAGCACAGCTTATCAGTTTCGACTCGCCGCCAAGTTCGCCAACATTTACACAGAAATCGAATAGTGATTGCCTCAGCGTCGATAGTTTCAGCTCCGATTCGAATTTCAGTTCGCCCAACAATGGCAGCGTCTCTCAACCGGAAAGTGGCTTCGAGGATGATTTCAGCGCGCGCAGCCGTCCAGCCACAACGAGTCCCCTCGATCCATGGGAGGCTTTCGATAGCGGTTTCAACACTGCTACCGATAGTATTTACGGCAGCACAGCCGCTACGAGTACCATTGGCACTGCGCCAGTACGCAATCTCAACACAATCAACACACGCATCCAGTCCAGCAACGACAATCCGCTTTGCAATGGCAAGAGTCTTTTACCGCCGACGCCCACTCTTAGTGTGCCAACGATTATCAAACCGAAAATATCGCAGAAGCCACGTGCGCCCAAGCCGCCAGTGCTGCCGAAGCCGCAGCTAGCGTATGGTGGCGAAGATACGCCACCAACACCGCCATCACCACCCATGCCGCTGTGTGCGCCACCACCGCCACCAATAAGCGTTTCATTACTGGACGTGATATCGGGAAAAGCAGATGCACTGCAACTGGGAGGTGGTGGTTCATGCTTTGGCAGCGGTATGGAGGAAACGAGACCATATGGCGTGGCTTTGTACGACTTCGAAGGTATCGAAGAGGGTGATCTTAATTTTAGGGTGCGTACAAAGAAATTACTCAAAATTACTAATTTTTATTAATAAACGTATGTATTTGGTTTGTTTATTTATAGGAAAATGAGAAAATCTACTTACTGGAACAGATGAGCGCCGAATGGTATCGTGGTCGTACGCGCTCTGGCTGTGAAGGTATCTTTCCAGTAAACTATATCGATGTAAAAGTGCCATTGGATGAGGTGGCGTCGACGATGGCTCCTGGTAGCCAACAACAAATAAGCAAACCGTTACGCGTAAGATGTCTTTACAATTTCCCAGCTGAATGCGATGGTGACTTGGCTTTGAAGGTAAGCAAAAGAAAGGAGTTATTGGCATATATCGGCGGTGCATACGAAGAAAAATGCGCGATTATTTTTACGGCGAAAAGGGACGCGTAAAATAAATAAGACGCCTAGACATAGTTGTCGACGAAGAAACGCGCGATTTGCGAGACTTAAAGCATGAGAGCTGGAATCGCTTTAGTTAACTGACTTTCACCGTCAATNACTACAATTAATGCCGTAGTTAACTTTTCCAAACTCGAAAAGTGTAGTGCTAACTTGACACACGTATTATATTTGCCCGTCTTTCCTCGCCGTCAACTACGTTTACGTGCCTATCTTCGCCAAGGTTTTCAACGCATGAGTTTCTTCATATGTACCGACAAAATTTTATTATTTAGCTAAGAAAATGGGGTTTATTAGTAGGGCTAGAATTCTCGTGCACTAAAAAATCGAAAAGTTAATGGCGCTATAACTTCTAGCTGGGCCAGAAGTATCTCACACTAAAACGTCTTAGTCGGGTTGGGTAGTTAAACAATCCCACTTGAGAATTTCAAGGTATGGCAATTTTGTTGTAGCAGCTACAACAACCCCGTCGCAATGTAATTAAACTAAGTTTTTTACCGCAGTTAACATGGCTGTCGATTAAAAAAATGCTTAATGGAAACCATGCTCTTCAAATTCGTTTCTTAATTAGATGTCAAATTCAAGGGCATTTGTTTTACATGACCAATATTAAAATTCCTGATTTCAAAAATTCTATGTTCCTTAAATTAACAAACTATATATCGGAAGGTTGTAAAGGTGGGGAATGAGTTTGCTGATTATGGACTCAAACACAATCAGAAGATTTATAAATCATTCATGAATTAAAAATAAGATTAGTCCAGCTAACAGTATAGACAGTAGCAAACCTTTTTGCGTTATTGTTGTAGTATTCGTTGTTGTAGATATTTTCAGTAATACTGACCAACCGTCCTCCTTTGAGGAGGATTGTCTTCCTCAAACGCGATTTGTCCTCTTCAAAAATGTTGTCCTTCTCTGTCCTTTTGAGCAAAAATGCCCTCCTTTTCAAGTTGTATAGCAGTAATGAAATTAAAAAAAAAAAATCGTTCAGAATATTATTATTTTCTAATCGTACACATTCATTGTGTTTAGTAGACGTTTACATTGTTCAAATTTCAGTTAAATGAGGTAAACTTTTGATTCAACTAATCGCCTGAAATTTGAACAGTGTAACCGCCTTTTAGCCTTAATCAATAATATTTCACTCTTTACAACATTGAAAGGCTAGCTAACGACGCCCGTCCACGGGCGGAAATTATTGCCTACCATATGTCATTTTGTTTGCCCGATACATACAGTGTTGGAAAAAATAATATAATTATAATTATTTCTTAACAAGTTAAACTTTGACCCAAAAATGCTTACAAAAATATTATTGTTTCAATAGCTTATTGAACCGCCGCACAGTGCTTCCCTTCCATATAAAATGTGGGCAAAAATAGAATTATAGACGGATTTAAATGCAAATTCTCTTCTTAGTAAAACTGAAGACGATGAATTTAAAGTGCAATTTTTTTTGGATAGCCTTCATACTTTCACTGTAAATGCAGTTTGAAGTTGAAAATTTGGGTTCTTGTGGCTTTTACATAGGTATATACATATAGTTCGTTCTATTTTCAAAAGTGAGGTGTCAAAGGCTTGGCCTGTAGATGTGCAATAAAGTTTTTCATTTTTGAAAAGAGTTGCCACCTGTTACAAATTTTATTAAAATTAATTAATAAGTTAAATGAATTAGATATTACAATGTGGGTATAAATTGACCTAATTTTGAAAATACTTTACTTCTAAACGACACGTAGAAGGGTTGCCACATATTTAAAAACCAAATTCGCTTTAATTAAAGGAAAAAGGTAACTGAAATATGTATGACAATATAAGTATCAGAAAAATGAGAAAATGTTACATATTTAGAAAGTAATAAGTGAAAAGTACATACATTCCTGAGTTAATTTAAGAGTCCAGTAATTTAAAAGGAATGTAATCAGAATGACAATGTATGTATTTGTAATAAAACAACAAATACGATGGCGTAATCCTGTGGTTTGGCGTAATTATTATTTAGTTTAACTAAATTCGACTTTACAAACAGGTAAATTCGTAACTTTTTTAAGCTAAAATCTTCTTAAACCTCTTTTGTCTGACTCCCTTAGGGTGATACCTATCTACTTCAATTACCAAATTCCTCTAATTCAAGTGGAATTTGATTTTTAAACAGGTGCCAACTCTCTACATGTATTTAATACACATTTCGATTGATACCCATCTCTTAATAATTCATTTAACTTATAAAAAAAATTGAATCTTATTTTTTATAGATCTAGTTTTTTAACAGGTGGCAACTCTTAAAAAAAATAAACCTTCTAATGTCCACAGGTTACGCTTTTTAATCTGACACTTCATTTTTGAAAATGGAACGAATCGTGCAGATCTCAAGGCACTGCCAAAAAATGGAAAAATAATTTTATGCATTAGGGAAAAACGCATTATGTAATTCAGAAAGTGCAAAAAAAATGAGCAGGTTTTTATTTCTTCTTTTGAAAGCTAAAAGCCCGTACTATTTAATAAAATAATAAAAAATAACCTATTTTTAAATATATTTTTTATTTATTCCATTAAAATTTACCATTTTTTGAAATTTTGTAAAAAAAAAATTCTTTTCTGGAAGACCGCAGGGGCACCCTGTGTTTAATTTTATTCCAAAATTTTAATTGCTGTAGTTCTCTACTATCCATATGGAAACAAGAAACGTCAAACCAATTGGGGTGTTCACAGTTCGTTCCAAATAGTGTCTGAAAATGTAGACGTCTACATTTTAAGACGTTTTCTAAC